CTCAACAGCTTAATGTGGCAGGCAGGGTAAAGGATGCTGCTAGTCACTTTACAGATATGGAAACTGAGGCCCACAAGGCTGACTTCACTAAAGCCACGAGGGAACTCAGGTAGTCTCAGTTTTTCGGATTCCTAATCCAGGTCCGGGAATGGGGGTGGGGTGGGCAGGGAGACATGCCCCTGGCCTGTGTCCCAGACTGTGAAAGATCTTGTCTGAGCCGCTGTTCAGAAACTTGATAAACCACTCAGGGATAAGGTGATAAGAGATGGAGATAATAAATTATTCCTAACAAAAAGCCAGCGGCCTGAGCGTTGGGAAAGGAAGGGTGACGTTATCACGGAACAGGTGGCTTTTTTGGTACCCTCAATTTCACCCCTCCCCCCAACCCCCATTCGGCTACTTACCCTCTCCCCAGAAGTGGTGAGCTCCCCGTCCCCGGAGGTGTTTAAGCAGGGGCTGGATGTCTACTTACCGGGTAGTCCTGGGTTGGAGATTTGTATTCACATCCTAGTAAGAGAAGGCCGACTCGCCCCCACGCAGAACAGACACTGTCCACAGACAGTGGGCTCCAACAGCCGCACGAAAAGGAGGCTTTGCGCCACCTGGTGGACATGTCTTTAAACTGCAGGCCTTTCAAGTGGAGAAGCCCACAGCCCGACTGTCCCCAGAATCCTGGGCAGTGAAGACAGAATAGATGCCCCAACATTTTCACAAGGACCTGCATTAGTTTGTGAGAGCTCGGCGTGGCCTCTGCGCCCGGCCAGGCACCAGCAGGCTCCAGAGAGGCCACTGTTACAGGGAGGATTTATTAACGGGACTCAGGGCTTGCTAAGGCCTGTCCCTGGGATTGGAGGGGACGCAGCCCTCCTAAACTTCGTTCCAGATTCCTGGGACGACAAACTGAGAAGCCACCTGGCAGGAGGAGCCTCATTTCTTCATTCGGCTTGTCTTTGCATTTGGGACTGACCTTGAATTGTCTTTTCCTGGAAGTAAAAAAAAAAACAAACAAACTGAACTTCCCAGTTCAGTTCCGCATGAGCCTCCCTGAAACCACCCCCACACAAAAGCAACAATAAAAAAAAAAAAAACCTCTCTCCAAGTGTTTTGCCCCGTGGACATCATATCCTGAAAGAGTCTGTGTACCAAAGTGCATGTTTTCATTATGTTTATTACCCAATCTCATCGTTTATTATCATCAAAGGCCTTTACAACTGCCCGTAGAAGGTGTCGCCCGTCAGCAGGGCCACATGGCGTTCATACAACGGAGCAAAAGCGTAGACTTTTTGGAAGCTCAGTGGGCCAGGGCAGCGCCGTCCGTGGTAAGTGCTGGATTACGCTCAGCCCCCTAAAGCACTGAAATGGGCTCTGGCTCCCAGCCCAGCCTTCCTTCTGTTGTGGGTGGTGAAGCCCCCCGGGCTCAGTTGCCCCCGAGGGAAATGTGCCCCCGGCCCCACCAAGCCCTGGCCCAGGCGTTCCTCTCACCGCTCCTCCTTTCGCTTTCACTTCAGTTCTGAGAAGGCACGGTTTTTGTTTGTTTGTTTTTTTAACATTTTATTTATTTATTTGACAGCAAGAGAGGGAACCCAAGCAGGGGGAGTGGGAGAGGGAGAAGCAGGCTTCCCGCTGAGCAGGGAGCCCGATGTGGGGCCCGATCCCAGGACCCTGGGACCATGACCTGAGCCGAAGGCAGACGCTTGACGACTGAGCCACCCAGGCGCCCCGGAAAGGGCACGGTTTTAATGAACAGTTTATCCCAGGCCTAGTCCTGGGCGTTAGAGGCCAGCCAGGCCCCTGGGAAGTGGAGCAGGAAACCCCTGCAGGGGGCGCGGTGTGGTGGTCTGCTGAGTGAACCCTTGAGGGCTCCCTGTGGACTGGCTCTAAATAATGTGTTTCCCTCCCCCTTCAGCTGCCCCATGAAGTGGGGTATGTGTGGTTGGTGCTGTTGGGAGTTTCCTCCTGTAGGTCATCATGGGTCAGACACAGGACGGCCCCCTCCCTGTTCCCAAAAGCTCTCTCCTCGCCCTCACGAGGGTGTCAGCCCCAGTCCTGCTCTATTTTCCCACCTTGGGAGCAAGGCTGACCCAAGCACATAACTCAGGGACCCCGTCGCCCTCCCCCAGGGATGGGCCTCTGCAGTCAGCCCCTGACCTACCCTCAACTCACCGTGATCCGGAAGCCCACAGCCCCGCCACCCCTCCAGGCCCTCCAAAAAAAAGGGGAAAACAGAGCAGAAGCCTCTATGATCCTTCCTAGGGGCACTCTCTCAGGAACCTCCCAAGCAGAATTCCCCAGCGCCACGCTGTCCCCCACGGTCTCCAGTGGGCATGCCTCTCATCGCACCCCTCCCTGAGGACTGCCCAAAGGCAGGGCTGCACCCTCCTTCGGATGCCACCCCTACCCTCCCCACATCAGCAATTCACTTACAAGGATTTGGGAATTTTAAAAAATCAAGTTCATGATTAAAATCTTTTTTACATAGGCACATTCTGATTTCAGAACCACATCCTTTAAACTCCCCACCCAAATCTTAGAGCCGTACCCAGTGGCAGCTTAGTTCAGAAGTCCCACCAAGTGGCCAAGCCAGCAGAGGAGGGGACAGGCCGTTCCCCAGACTCCTTCTGAGCCAGGAGCACCTTCGCATGTACCACCTGACGCTGGAGAGTCTGGAGGTATTAAGCCCTTGCTCTGTAACTGTATGTGTTTTCTGTGCATCTCTATAAAACTTCGGAGTAAACACTTGAGTAGAAAATGCGGATTGACATCATGGGGAGGGAACAGAGGAAGAAGCCAAGAACGGTGGTCACCACTAGGCTCCTCCACGAGAGAGACAATAGGTCACCAGCATCAGCCCAGGCTTCCCGTAAGAGCCCGAGAAGTGGCAGGGCCACCAGAATTGAAGGAAGTGTTAGATGTTGTCACCTCAAAGTTACACGGTGTTGTATGTCAATCACATCGGCGGTAAAGCCAGGGAGACGTGGAACTTTCCTGCAAGGGAAAAAGACTGTTGGCAAGAATCCACAACCCCGGCAGGGACAGAGAATCAGGGAGCCCGTGCTCCCGGGCAAATGCTGTAAGAGGCTCCACTGGGTGGAGACCGTGACTTGTGTCATTTATTTCATTAATGAACTTGTTAACACACTCAGTTTTTTATTTTTTTTATTTTTTTCTTTTTGTAAAAAAGAAAGAAAGAAAAGGGACACACTCAGTTTTTTAAATAAATTACTAATTTACTGTTGACTTCTGGCAAAAAAGAAAAATAAGAGACAGACATGGCTGGCTACTTTTGCATATCATGAGAATATATACATCCTGCTTTTTAAAAATGATCTGTGAGGAAGCCCATTTTGACATGTTTTCAGTGACCCACCACTTTTCAGGAATCCGTGTCAAAAATGGTTATAAACCCAGAGCTTCACCTGGTGCCATGTAGACAACAAGTGTTCCATTAACGCTGGTGGAGGGAAGGGCTGGATGAATCCTTTTATTCCTGGCACCCAGGTGTACATCCCAGACCCGAGCCTAACGTGCCTGGGGAGATGAGAAAGGGTGGACTTCCCCCAGGGCTGAGTGGGGAGGCCGGGCATCCGGGCTCTGGGGTGGTAGACTCTGCCCAAGCCCAGGCCCCAGTGGCCCCAGCGCTGGGTGAGATTCATCACCCCGGGTGAAGACATATTCCCTGGGATGCACAGCTATTGACAACCAGTAACGAATGCCAGGCCAATGCCAATGTCGTACCTGGAAGAAGTGACTTAGGAGGCAGCATGAGGAGTCCACCAGGCTGAGCTGGGCTGTTTGTCTTGAGCCAGTCCCTCCTCATCTCTGGCCTCAGTGGCCTTATCAATAAGAGAAGAGACTGGATGAGTGGATTTTGACAGTCTTTCCCATTCCAGTTGTGGAGTTCTGGGTTAGAGATGCTGAGAAAAGCTGGGAGCACGGGTCCATTCTGGATCAAAGTCAAGGAGATGGAACAGTTTCGAGGAAGAGGAAAGGGACCAAGGATTTTCGTACTGAGCCTTTATGCCAAGGTCACCTGCCCGGCCACTCTGGCGTGGAACTCTCCGGGGCCCAGGTGGGACTCAGTCAGGACAGAAGCACTGCTTAGGAGTGGTCACAGCTCTGAGTGCCCAAGTCCAGGAATCCTTATCAGCTTCTGCACAGTGACTCAGAGCCAGCTCAGGCTCCGCCAGTCGGGGATTTTCCTGACATGCCCCGGGGGTGAGCGGCAGAGGTTTCTTTCTGCCCAGAAAGAAGATGTGAATCCAAGAAGTTCTGTTTCCAATGAAGTGAAAACACCCCCTTCCCTTTCTCCCCCAAACCTTACTGGAAGGGTCACAGGGCAGAGGTTCTGACCCCCTCGCGAAGGCCCAGCCACTCCTGGGGCATCAGGGAGAAGAGAAACTGAACCAATAGCCCAGGCGCACTTTCACGCTTTCGGGCAGTTGGGTTTGCAGAGTGTTCTTGGCGAACACTGACTAAGTGCTTCCTACAGCGCAGGCACACGCTAAGCATGTCACCAATGTTGTCTTACAGAGATTTCTGGCAGTCCTGTGAGGTCAGGTCAGGAATAGCATCCGCATTTTACGGGTGAGAAGCCTGAGGCTTCCAAGAAGGGACAACAACCCGCCCAAGGTCACGTGGCAGGTGCGGGTCCCGGAGCACAGGAGGCCACGTGCAGGGGGCAGTGGCAATCCCCACTGAGTCATTGTCACAACATCAACAAAGGACTGAAAACAGGAAAGAAGTTTGGGCCAAGTGAGGTGAGCCATTCAGCAGAGATGCCGAGGGCAGAGAGGCAGGGCCATGGCCTTGGCTTGAGAAGTGCCCCATCCATGAAGAGTCACTAAAACCAACCAACCAGCCAAGGAACAGCACTGCGTTCTGGAGAGACATCCCAGCTCTGCAAGCTTTGCCCCTGTTTCCCCATCTTTAAACCTCGGGGGTTTGACGTGTTAATGGAATGAGATTAAAATATGTGTAGGACCCTTAGGACAAGTGAGCACTTAAATGTCAGCATTGTTATATTGTTACTACTAAGACCGACAAAGGGTACTCCTTTCTCATATGCCAGCATCAGCCCCCAGAGGGCTGGTTTTCAGGAGCATGTCCCTTTTAGGAAAGAGCTAAGGCTCGGTGAGGGGCCTCAAGCTACCTTCTTCTGTAAGTTGAAGGAGCTGGGCTGGATGCTCTCTCAGCCCCCGGCTACCGCTCCCAAGCTGGGCAGGTAGCAAGGGGTAGGGCAGAGAGAGGGTTCACTTCCCATGCCCCACTGAGCCCCAGTGCTACCCTACCCAAGAACGATGCCCCCCCACAGTGTCCAGAATGTGAGGCCTCCCTGTTCTCAGCCTCCCAGGTGCCCAGGCAGCTTGGAGGTCTGAGACAATGGTTATGATCCCATGAGTGCAAAACCCGCTGGGGATTCCTGCTGCTCCGTGAGGAAGGTGGAGACCACCAGGCAGCTAGCTGCCTTCAAGGGAGACTCCGTTTCTGTCCCATCAGTCCTTGGTGCCCAGAATCCTCCTGCCCCTCACGGAGAGACTTCCAGCATCTCCTCCTTGAAATCCATCCTGTGCTGCTCCCGGCTCTCCGGCTGCTCCAGGCGGCTGTCCCCGTCCTGGCTCACCTTCCCAGGTATCTTCAGAAATCTGGAATTCAGGCCCCAGGTGCAAATCAGCCCCTGCCCCGGCTGCTTCCAGTCCACCCAACCCCTCTGCTTCCCCTTTTCACCTTGGCGCCTAAGCTACTCACCTGAACAGGAGTTTCTGCCCGGGTTCTTTCCTAATGATGTTCAGCTTATAGTAGTGACGCAAGGCACGAGACATCTTCTCATAGGTCATGTTCACCCGGTTCTAGAAGGCAAAGCAGTCCCATAGGACCCTCCTCTCCCTCCCTTAACCTCAGTCGGTTAAGCATCGACTCTTGATTTTAGCTCAGGTCATGATCTCAGGGCTGGGAGATCGAGCCCCATGTCAGGCTCTGCACTCAGTGGGGAGTCTGCTTGAGATTCTCTCTCTCCCCCTCTCCCTCTGCCCCTCCCCCTGCTCTCTCTCACTCTCTCTCTCAAGAAAAAAGTGTCTGTCTCTGTCTCCTTGCCTCCCATCCTCCACCTCTCCATTTCCTTTAAAAAAAAAAAAAAAAGGAGCAGGTTGAACTGGCTGGTTTCTTTTAAGCCCCTCAGCCCAGAGTTCTGTGAGCATTTATGAGCGCTCTCTTGAGTTTGGAAGGAGAAAGCCAGGGGAAGGTTGGAGGAGAAATAATGAGCACTACCTACCGGGCTGAGAACCACAGGGCAAGAGTAAATCACCTGTTGCTTTTATTTATTTATATATTTTTTAAAAGATCTTATTTATTTATTTGAGAGAGAGTGAGCACAAGTGGAAGGGAGGGGCAGAGGGACAAGCACACTCCACGCTGAGCAGGGAGCCTGACACGGGACTCGATCCCCTGAGCCGAAGGCAGACGCTTCACCGGCTGAGCCACCCAGGCGCCCTTCATGCATTGCTTTTTTTTTTTTTTTTTAAGATTTTATTTATTTAATTGACAGAGAGAGAGAGACAGCGAGAGAGGGAACACAAGCAGGAGGAGTGGGAGAGGGAGAAGCAGGCTTCCCGCTGAGCAGGGAGCCCGATGTGGGGCTCGATCCCAGGACCCTGGGATCATGACCTGAGCCGAAGGCAGTCGCTTAACCAACTGAGCCACCCAGGCGCCCCTTCATGCATTGCTTTTAAACAGCAAATGTCACAAGTAGTAACAAATACATATATATTTCGTTGGAAACACAGAGAGACAGCATGGGAAGGGGAACACAGTGGTAGGAGCAGCTCACCATGAGCTGAGTGACTTGAGCCAAGTCGTTTTATTTTTTCCTCTCTCTGAGGGGTGGGCAGTGCAGAGTAAGGGCAAAGAGGCTGGGCTTTAGTGTCACCTGAAGCCCCGGCTCCACCATTTGGCAGCTGCGGGACCTCGGATAAGTTTGTCTGCCTCTCTGCAGCTGTTTCCCCGGCACCCAAATGAGGATAAGAACGTCCCTCTCGCAAGTGTGTCGGGAGGACTAAATTAGTTATCCCATGGGAGCACTTCGCACAGTGCTTGGCATGTAGCACATGCTCATTAAATGGAATTGCTGCTCTCTGGGCCTCGGTTTCCCTCCCTGTACTATATGGGGATTAGACCAGGTAAACACACCCAGCCTCGAGGCCTCTGTATCCTTCCAACCGCCAGCACCACTGAGAGGCAACAAGGGTGGAGCACCGCGGGGCGTCTGGGTGGCGCAGTCGGGTTGAGCGCCCAACTCTTGGTTTCCGCCTGGGTCGTCGTGATCTCAGCATCATGAGATCAAGCCCCACGTGGGGCTCCTTGCTTAGCAGGGAGTGTGCTTCTCTTCTTCTCCCTCTGCCCACACCCCTGCCAGCAAATCAATCAATCAATCAATCAGTCTTTGAAATAGAGGGGAGCCCCTGAGCCACCCACTCTGTGTTCAAGTCCATGCTCTGCCATGTACTGGCTGCAGACTCTTGGATAAACCACTACGGGCTTCTGCTTCCCCTCTGCTGTCTACGTCACCAGGTGTCCTGAGGATCAGATGAGTTCATACAGGGAAAGCCCTCAGAGAGGTGCCTGCTGATCAAATGCCATGCCGTGTTAGGAAATGCTATCTATTACAGATTACCATGATTGTTAATAGTTTGGTTTTCTTTAAGACTCCTTTTTTTTAAAGACTCCTTTTTTAGTTAAATGAATTTATTTATAGACAAGGACACTTGCTTTATATCACCACTGGAAATCAAGAGATTGACATCGTAGTTAAAACTTTTAATCCTAATTCTTACTAAAATAAATAATTAATAGAACTTGGAGTAAACCACCTAAAATCCTCTGGCAAACGTCCCTTTAGGTATGGGCATTCCTCACATTGGGACTGACACGAGATGCTCCCGCAGGGCCTGAGACCTGGGTTTATACCCCAGCTCCCCCCAGGAAACTGGCCTCCTCATCTGGCCTAACCGCCCCACAGCATATGTGGTGCAATTCAAGTAAAGATACTCTGAGAGTCTCAAGCACTAAGCAAAGGTGGGTTTGAGTGTGTAGAAGGCAAGACTCCTGAGTTTCAGGGACAATTCCCATCCTCAAGAAGTAACCAGAGAGCCCTCAGGATCTCCCAGAATAAAATGATCCCAACACTTCTGGAGCTGCTGGTGAACCCCCACCCCCACCCCCCGTCAGTTGAGGACCATCCCCTAGTGCTGGCGGGTCCACTCTGAACCCCTGCTCTGTCCTCTTCTGGAGGTGTGGAGGCCACCCTGCCTGCTGGCTTCGGTTTACCTTATGGTTTCCCCAGAGTCTGGCAAGCCCGTTTGGATCCACAACTCTGAAGATCTTGGCATTCTTGTCTTCCCACCTGATGTAGGGCTCGTACCTGGCGTCAGAGAGCAGCTGATACACGTAATCCCACAGCAACCGGCAGTCTGCAATTGAACACAAGGGGTGCAGACAGGGGGCTTTCCTGGGGTCGTGAGGATAGGCATTAGGAAGGTGCTCTGGGGCTCTCTAAGCTGGGGCCCAGGCATGCAGTGGGATGGTCAAGATGACAGATCAACAGGAACAGCCACATGTGGGGGCTCATGGTCTCATTTATTCACCCCAGCTCTGGGAAGTGGTTACCTTTATCCACACAGAGATGAAGAAATGGGCTCAGAGAGGTATGGACAGGTCCCAATCACTGCGCTCCTAAGTGACACGCAGACCAAGGAGTCTAGCCCAGCTCGGCGGACGTCAAAGCCAACGCCCTTCACATGGGGGCAGGTGGCAAGGGCAGGCGGTGGGGGTGCTGGAGGGTGGCCAATGGCCTGAACCTGCCTCCAGATCCCTCTCTGCCCTTTTCCTGGTTCTCCGTTGAATTGGGATTGTTAAATCCATCCTGTCGAGCCCCCTCGCGAGAGGCATGAGAAAATCAAATGTGCCATCAGGGAGCGCAAGTGGCAGAGGGGGCTTGGGAGCGAGAGCTTTGGGCCCCCTCTCTGGTCCACCCGGCAGGGTCATTTCAGGCAGGTTACCTAACCTCTTCTGAGCCACAGTTTCCTTATAGGCGGTGATATGAGGATTAAGATAATAGACCCAAGAACCCTCAGCATAGTGCCTGGTACAGAATGAGTGCTCAAAGAATAGTAAGCATTATTATTAAAAGGACCTGATACTTATGTTTCGGTGCTCCCCGGGCACCCGGACGGCCTGGGTCCACACCCCAGCTCTGTCCCTCACTGCTATGTGACTGATCCTGGGGGAGTCACTTAACCTCTCGTGCCTCATCCTCCTTCCCATAGAATGGGACTAATACTGACCTCTAACAGCTGATGTGGGATTAAACAAAGTTCTCAGAATCATGCCTGGCACATAGTAAGGACCCAACTATTTAGAAATAAATAAATAAAAATTTAAAGGAGAGGAATACGCCATTTCAATCTCACTGTCTGACTGTGACCGGCTTCACTGTCCCTGCCCTGGAGACAGGGCAGGCTTGGCGCCCCTGGGCAGCCCTGCCTGCTGTGGCCAGATTGTGGCTGGCACATGGGACAGTCACCCTATCCCCCCTAACAGCCCAGCACAGACTCCCTCATTCCCCAGCTCAAACCAACCCTCCTCCCTGCCACCGACCACCCTCTGGGACTTGGCCTCAGCACACCTCCCTCTGGGCCAGGGGCATACAGCCTCCTACTCACCAGCGATCCTGCCATCAATGGGGGCCTGCGGCATGGTGGGGAAGGAGCAGGCTCCCTCAGCCCTGCAGCCCAGCTCCACACAGTGAGATACGTTGAGGGACGCCTCCCTGCCAAGGGGCCCCTTGGCCAGGGGACTCAAGGAGCTGGCAAGCCCCAGGTGTGATGGTTGCTGCAGGAGATCCCTTCGGGGGGCCAACTGAGGGGGCCCAGTCCCCTCTGCAAGCAAATAAGCACCACTGATTCTTTGGACTCAGAGCCTCCCCCAGCCCAGACCACTCAATGGCATGCCTGGGAGCCCCTTGGGGCAGCACTCATAATGCTCTTCCTCCATCCAGTCCCCAGCTGGAAGGTCAGGGAGGCATAGAGGGCATGGGTGAGGGCCAGACAGACCAGGTGCTAACCCCAGCTCCCAGACAGTAACTCAATCTCTTAAACCCATTCCTTCATCTGTAGAATTGTTTGCAAAGCTAAGGGGTGACAGAACCAGGACCAGAATCCCGGTGTCTTGTATTTCAGTCCTATGCCCTCTCCATCCACCAAATAAATAATTATTGAGAACCTTCTGTGAGCCAGGCATTGTTCTAAAAATCTTGGGGACATATCACTGAACTAAAAAACAGCCCCTGCCCTCGTGGACCTGATATTGTAGTCGTGGAAGAAGTCCGGGGTTTGGAAAGGGAGAGAGATGATTAAAATAAAAAAGGAAATAGGGGTGCCTGGATGGCTCATTCGTTGAGCGTCTGCCTTTGGCTCAGGTCAGGATCCCAGGGTCCTGGGATCAAGCCTCACATCGGGCTCTCTGCTCAGAGGGAAGCCTGCTTCTCCCTCTCCCACTCCCCCTGCCTGTGCTCCTGCTCTTGCTATCTCTCTCTGTGTCAAATAAATAAATTTAAAAATCTTTAAAAAAAAATAAAAAAGGAAATAGAAACAGTACACAATATGAGGGGGGATGGAATAAAGCACTATAAGGCAGACAGGGAATCCTGGGAAAGACAGGGGTACGTGATGGTAAAAGAAGGTCTCACTGAAGTGTTAACATCTAACAGACATCTAAAGGAAGTAGAGGAGTGAGCTATGTGGGTATCTAGAGGAGGGAATGCCAGGCAGAGGGAACAGCAAGGGCAGAAACCCTGAGGCAGGAGTGTCTCTGGCTTGTTCAATGAACAGGGAGGCCAGTGTGGCTAGAGCAGCATGAGCAAGGGGGAAAGGGGTGGGAGAGTTCAGCAGGTGGCAGGAGGTCATTATAAGGACTGTGGCTTTGACTCTGAGTGCAGTGGGAGCCATAGGAAGATTTTGAGCAGAGAAGTGACATGATCTGACTTATGAAGCTCTCTGGCTACGCTATTGCAAATAGATCATAGGAAGTCAAGAGTGAAAACAAGGACACCAATGAGAAGATTCTCTAGAGGTAATGGGGGCTGGGCAATGGGCAGCAGTGGAGGTGTGTGAAGTGGATAGGTTCTGGATAGATTTTGAGGGTAGAGCCAACAGGGCTTGTTGACGGTTGGGATTTGAGCAGGAGAGAAAGAAAGCAATCAAAGGTGACATTTTGGCCAGACATCTGGCCAACATTTTGGCCAGAGCAACTGAGAGGATGAAGTTGCAGTTTGCTGAGATGAGGAAGCCTGGAAGAGGAGCAGGGTTATGGGCAGGAAGGTGGGGCAGGAATCAGGTGTTTGCTTTAGGAGCTTTTAGGGTTGAGATGCCCATTAGACATCCCAGGGGAGGTGTAGCGTAGGCAGTGTGGGGTGTGAAAGTCTAGAATTCACAGAGGTCTGGGCATATGTAGGGATCATCAGTACTAGATGGTATTTAGCACCCTAGGTCTGAGTGCAGATAGAGAAGAGGCCCCCTGGGCCATGGGGTACCCCAACATTGAGAAGTAAGGGAGAAAAGAAGCCAGGAAACAGAAGGAGTGACCATGGAGTGTTCTGGAAGCCAAGGGAAGAGTTTGAGGGGAGGGGGATGACCCACTAGGTTGTAGGCCATGAGAGGTGACAGTGAATAAGGACTGACAGTGGATGTGGACACCCCCACGTTCAGGCTTCTAGAGTCCCTGACAAGAACAGTTTCCACAGGGAGACCAGGAGGAGAGGAAATTCTTTGCTGGAGAGGAGAGCAGAGAAATGAGGAGACAGAAGGTGGAGGGCTGCCGAGAGAGTCACAAGGGCTGGGGTGAGGACTGAGGAGGCAGGGCAGAGGGGAGCTGGGAGTTCAGCCCACACAGCTGCCTCTTCCCTTCGGTTGCCTGGAGGAAGCCCTGCCCTCCCAAAGAGGCCAACTTGGGGGAGGGTCCCAGAGGTCTGAGAAGAGCCTCCTCACCTTCCAGGAGGCAGGGGCAGTGCTGAGTGGGCATCTTCTGCCTGAAGGCCCCTCCAGAAAAGGGTCCACACACTAAGGCTTGCCTCTGGGTCCTGATGTACTGAAGCAGCTCATACAGGACATCACCTAGGGGCGGAGGTAGGGAGCAGGTCGGTCACCTGCCTCTGGGGTGAGGGCTGGGGTCAGTCACAAGCTTCATGCTGATGAGATGAGAGGCAGCAGAGTGGAAATGGGTAGGGGAGACAAGAGCCACAGGGAAGGGGAGGGCCAAGTGACAGCAGGACAGAGCTCCGGGCTCTGCAAACAAGAGCCAGATTCCTTTGCTGCAGGCCTGCTCTTGCGAGGAACCACGAGGCAAACATTTATGGAAAAGGGGACGTCTGCCATGGTGAGAAGTGAGCATGCTCCTCCAACCAATGCATCCATCTCCCACCATCTCCCTCCCTGGGCCTACCTGGGTTTCCATCAGAACGTTTTAGAGGGAATCCAGTGAGTTCCCCTGACCTGAACCAGGTGCACGAAGCCGGAAGTCATCCTTGGTGAGAATACAGAGGGCTCGGCCATTCATCTCAAACCCATGCTCCCCAGTGCGCTGCAGAGAGTACTCCTGCTCAGCCCAGCGCAGCCAGTGCAACACGTCCTCCCTGCTCCAGAGTGCCGGCTGGATGCCTGCAACCACAGGGACAGGGACTGGGAGAGAGCACAGGGCAGGGGCAGGAGCTCTCCCCTTAACAATCACTCATCCACTTCAGGCCCTCTCTGGAATGTCACCTCCTCCGAGAAGCCCACCCAGAATGCTACATCTGAACAGATGCTCTCCTATCCTATCTCCCCGCTTGTCACCATGTCCTGTTCTTTTCCTTCCTGGCACCTCACTTTCCTTGTCATTGCACTTCATAGTTATATGTTTATGTTTATCATTATCTATGCATTATGTATGTGTTCACTTATTTTATTTTTGGTACCGCCTCACCCCAGTCTCTTTCCCAGTTCTTAATTCAACAGATATTTACTGAGGAACTATTATGTGCCTGGCACTGGGCTGGTTGTGCTAGGACACAGTGGTGTATGTATTCAGCACCGAGGACAGCGCCTGAACCAGAGGAGGTGCTCCAAAGACCTGTGTTGAGTGATGGTGTCCTGTGAAAAAGTCGTGTTATTGTTACTGTTTTCCCAGTGAGGAAGCTGAGGCTCCCAGAAGCTAAGTGACTAGCCCGGGGTCACACAGGTAGCACGAGGTACAGCCAGGCCCAGAATCCAGGTCTGTCTGGCTGCCACACTCTTCCACTCTGTTGTGCCAGCTCAGGTCTGGGTTTGCTCAGGGAACAGCCCAGGGGACAAAGAAGCCTCCTACACCCATTTCCAGCTTGTGTGTTCTTGTCTCTGGCAATACCCAGACAAGAAGTTGCTTTCTTTTATTCCTCTTCCTCACATGTCTACTCTGCCTGGGCCTATTACGCTCCTAATGCCAATTATTTACCTCCCTCATCTGGGTTGTGTTTAACAGGGCCACTTTATGACTTTTGTGGGCCCTGGTACTCTTGCCTTCCTAGGCCCCTTCCTCCCCTAAAATATATTTAAAATTTTATTTTATGACTGCATTGGTAGAAAGACAAGTATATTGTTATATATTAAAATGTTTTCTTCTGCCTAAAAGTTCATTTTTTTCTCTTGATTTTTAAAAGAAATCAGAACATTTTTGTGGTCCCCTAAAAGTATTGGGGCCCCCAGCACTGGCCCACCATGATGGCAGCCTGCTGCTTTGCTTTGTGTGGTGCTTCTCCTCCCAAGAGCGTTTCAGCCCTATCAGGATCCTGGCCACGTGACAGTGGGAGGAGCTCAGGGCTCATCAGGGCTGGTGTGACAGGTAGCAAAACTGAGGCAGGGGAGATACCTGTCCAAGGCCACACCTTGGGAGTGACAAAGACTAAACCACCCTGTGACTGCCTTGGTCCCAAATCAGCACAAGAGATAAAACTCGTTTTCATGTTTAAAAAAAAAAAAGAAAAAGTGCATCATCCACTTGTTCATCGATTCAACCAATACCTAATGAGCATGGGCCATATGCCAGGCACTGTGCCCCTGCTGGGGACACAGCACAGAGTTAGGCTGGCAGGAGGGAGGTAACCAATGACTATCTTATGACAATCCTGCTCTCTACACAGAGGGAAAGGGCCCTGAGCTACCAAGGTAGAAAGCAGGGCAACACATCCCAGCTTAGGAGGAAGGAGAGGATCCCCTTAACTTTATTTGGGGACCTAAGAATGAACAATAAAGAAGAAGAAATTTCTGAAACTGGCTGAAAAATTATTTAAGGGGGAAGAAAAGAAGAGAAGTAGCAACTGGCCTTTGTGGTACTACATACCACAAAGCCATGTGATTAAGATCTGACACCATTACTGAGACTGACAAGTATCAGGGGAAAAGATGGAGCCCGGAAGAGTGTGTGTGTGTGTGTGTGTGTGTGTGTGTGTGTGTGTGTGTGTAAATTTAATACATGTTAGAAGTGGGGTTTTAATTCAGTGGGAAAGGATTGTGAATTTAAGCTATGCTAAAACCACAACTGGCTCTCCACCTGGGAAAAAATATATCTGGACCTTTACCTGTCACCATTTACAAAGATCAGTTCCCAATGGGATTAAGACTTAATGAATAAAACAATAGAAACTTCAAAAGAAGTGGGGGGGGGGTGCCTGGGTGGCTCAGTCAGTTAAGCATCTGCCTCCCGCTCAGGTCATGATCCCAGGATCCTGGGATCAAGCCCCGTGTCGGGCTCCCTGCTCAGCGGGGAGCCTGCTTCTCCCTCTCCCACTCCCCTTGCTTGTGTTCCTGCTCTCGCTGTGTCTCTCTGTGTCAAATAAATAAATAACATCTTTAGAAAAATGAAGTGGAAATAGGGGGGTGCCTGGCTGGCTCACTCGGAAGAACACGCAACTCTCGATCTCCGGGTTGTGAGTTTGAACCCCATGTTTGGGCATAGAGGTTATTTAAAAATAAAATATTTTTAAAAAGTGGAAATAGGAAACCCACATGCATTAAACAAGGGTGGGGGGAACCTCAAACCTCAATCATGACAGGAAACTCAGAGGCTGTTACATAAGTAGAAGATGCACTTGATTACATTGAGTTTTGTATGTGTGGTAAAAGATACCATAAACGAAACTAAAAGAGGGCAGAATAAAGGGAAATATTTGCAACGCAGATGAGAGATAAAGGGCTAATGTCTATCATAGGTGAAGAGCATCTCTAAGTTGATCTTTTTTTTCAAAAAAAATCTTACCAGTAATTCACAGTGGAGCAGGATTTCTCAGCCAAGGCACTACTGACACTTTGCACCTGATCATTCCTTGCTATGGGGGCTGTCCTGAATTTTGTGGAATATTCAGCAGCATCCCTGGCCCCTGCCCACTAGATGTCAGCAGCAAACACACACACACACACACACACACACACACACACACACACACACACACACACAC